GCAAAACCTTTTGGGTATGTCCTCATTTGTAAAAACGGTATATTAACATGAGTTAACAACTTGTGTTAACACCTTGGACTGTTTTGGTTTCAGTGCAGATTTCTCTCCTGATTCAGACCACTTTTTTCACTGTGTTATTATGAACTTGTGTTTTAAAGTTAAAAGATCTTAATGATGGACTTGTTTCTACAAACACACAGTTTCACAAGACGTTAACTGATGGACTGGAGTGGTGTGGATTATTGTGATGTTTTTTATCAGCTGTTTGGACTCTCATTCTGACGGCACCCATTCACTGCAGAGCATCCATTGCTGAGACACTGATGCAGTGCTACATTTCTCCAAACCTGATGAAGAAACACACTCATCCTAATCTTGGATTTTCTGAGGGTGAAGACATTTTCAACACATTTTCACCTATTTCTTTAAACTTCACCAATTATTTTTGACTTTCTAAAAGAGGACAAATATTGAGCAAATAAGATGTTTTTGATCTGTTATTTTAGAGAACAAAACACTACTACAAAACACCAATAATGAAAATGTAAAATTGAACACAATGTGTTATCTTGTGCATTGCAAACATAGCCGAGGAATATTTGCTGAACAGGATGAGTTCCTGTCTGAGAGTCTGTGCATGCAGCGCGGTTATTCATGCAGTCAAGCTATACTCTGATTTGATTTCCAACGTAGAGGCAGTGCACCTAATTAGTTGATATTCCCTCTACATCCTAATTAGTCTTCCTGACACTGGAATTAAAAACAGGAGAGTTATGTCCAATATAAAGTCTTTGATGAATGGTCCTGCTGGTTTTCTTGGACTTTAGGTGCAGGTCACATCTGCTAACGTGCTCACTGCAGGAATAAACAGCAGGGTCAACAGTCTGACGCCATAAAAGCATCCTATGATAATCTGGGATTCAAAATCTAATTTAAACTTGTGGCCAGTGGCAGAAACTGCTTGGACCGTGCAATTTCTTTCTTTAAGACTGGAAATAAGTCAGTTACATAAAAATGTAGATTGCCATATTTTGAAAATGTAAAACTGATGCTCCTTGTACTTTGCTAGCTTCAAGTTTTGCTCTTTGGTTTCTGTTTGCCTTGTAAACTACCCTTTTGTACTTTTGGGAAAATATATGCTACTATTTTAGTGCATTTCTATATTTATACTGTTTTTATATTGTTTGGAAAATGCAAAAAAATAAAATTTATGTTTCACATATTGTTTTATTTTCTTTCATCAAGCCACTAAATGCATTTGAAATTAGAGTCCAATTTCATCACTTTCAGAATCTGTGGTTTTATTGTTATTACTCTGAAAAATAGACTATTTAAATATGTATTCATATAGATCGGTTTAAAACATAAAAACATAAATACAGACAAAATAAAGCATTATATATGAAATAAAAAAATGTGCAAAATGAAACGACCAAACGTCATTTTTATCCTCAAATGACCTGCAAATGTTCCAGTCTTATTACAGTCTCTGCTTTAGAGTTCGGTACCACCAACAGTTCCTGGATACAGAGCCAACCTATTGCTTCCTTGTCGAAGGCTTTCCAGTGTATGCTCCCATCCAGGAGGTGGATCTTGATAAAAAATAACATCTCACTCTAGCTATGTTTATGAAAAACTGCAAAAAATGTACCAATACATACAATACACTGCATTTACTAACTGAAATGAAACACTAGTGGCAGTAAAATACCAACAACTTTTATTCCTTTTCACGCAAATTATGATTACTTGGGCAGATTATTGATTAATAAAGACTTATTTTCATGTGGTATTCCTCGCACAATACCATGTTATATAACCTAAAAACACTTACCATAGTGCATGAGTTGTAAACTAAAACAATTTGACGTTTGCATCACATAACCAGCTCCATGTGTTTGGGTTTTCTGGTGTAGTAAACTTGCTCGATTGCGCACCCGGTACAGCATTAAACTTGAGACACAAAGCACTCGGGTATAAGTCCTGTGAAACACAAATCACGATTAAAGACCTCAAAGACTGTAGAATCCAGATTAAATGGGATGCTTGATTCAGCAGTGTGTATTTACCTCATGAGGGTTTGTGAAGCTTTTAGCGCACCTCTCAGGACATTTCCGAACTGCCGCGATATAAACAACAACCAGTGTATTAAAATGTTTAACTGTTTAAAGAAAACTATTTAGTGAAAGACATTTGGCTTTAAACCAGCTGTGGAATGTGCTACAAGGAACGCAATATCAATTTGCAACCCTCATGCATGCTTTTTCATGACGCATTGCTGTTTAATAAACCTGCATCTGCAATGAAGAAAAAAATGTATATTGCTTATAGCACCTCTTGTGGACGTGTCATCTGTAAAATGCAGTGAAATAGACCTAGAGCAATGTATTTCAGTTCCTGCACTAATATAGCCAGGGTCACATATTTCCAATGAGCCTGTGTTTCAGAGACATGGGGCTTGTTTCATTTACAATCTGTTTATGTGGCTTTCCGAAGCACAGCAGAGGTGAGTTTAACTGAAGAGGTGTTTTTATAGGCCCTAAAGGGACTGTGATGCATTTAACTTTCATTTCCATCAGCGGCATTGTGACTTAATTTGATTTGATCAGAATGTCACAACTGGTTCAGAGAGGAGACGCTAATCCTGTAAAACTATGAGCACAAGGGACTCGCTCTTCTGCAGGTGTTTCAGCGCCACAGATCTCAGTGTGTTTGAGGGTAAAAGTGTACCCAGAAGTGATATAAATCTGGCAAAACCTTTTGGGTATGTCCTCATTTGTAAAAACGGTATATTAACATGAGTTAACAACTTGTGTTAACACCTTGGACTGTTTTGGTTTCAGTGCAGATTTCTCTCCTGATTCAGACCACTTTTTTCACTGTGTTATTATGAACTTGTGTTTTAAAGTTAAAAGATCTTAATGATGGACTTGTTTCTACAAACACACAGTTTCACAAGACGTTAACTGATGGACTGGAGTGGTGTGGATTATTGTGATGTTTTTTATCAGCTGTTTGGACTCTCATTCTGACGGCACCCATTCACTGCAGAGCATCCATTGCTGAGACACTGATGCAGTGCTACATTTCTCCAAACCTGATGAAGAAACACACTCATCCTAATCTTGGATTTTCTGAGGGTGAAGACATTTTCAACACATTTTCACCTATTTCTTTAAACTTCACCAATTATTTTTGACTTTCTAAAAGAGGACAAATATTGAGCAAATAAGATGTTTTTGATCTGTTATTTTAGAGAACAAAACACTACTACAAAACACCAATAATGAAAATGTAAAATTGAACACAATGTGTTATCTTGTGCATTGCAAACATAGCCGAGGAATATTTGCTGAACAGGATGAGTTCCTGTCTGAGAGTCTGTGCATGCAGCGCGGTTATTCATGCAGTCAAGCTATACTCTGATTTGATTTCCAACGTAGAGGCAGTGCACCTAATTAGTTGATATTCCCTCTACATCCTAATTAGTCTTCCTGACACTGGAATTAAAAACAGGAGAGTTATGTCCAATATAAAGTCTTTGATGAATGGTCCTGCTGGTTTTCTTGGACTTTAGGTGCAGGTCACATCTGCTAACGTGCTCACTGCAGGAATAAACAGCAGGGTCAACAGTCTGACGCCATAAAAGCATCCTATGATAATCTGGGATTCAAAATCTAATTTAAACTTGTGGCCAGTGGCAGAAACTGCTTGGACCGTGCAATTTCTTTCTTTAAGACTGGAAATAAGTCAGTTACATAAAAATGTAGATTGCCATATTTTGAAAATGTAAAACTGATGCTCCTTGTACTTTGCTAGCTTCAAGTTTTGCTCTTTGGTTTCTGTTTGCCTTGTAAACTACCCTTTTGTACTTTTGGGAAAATATATGCTACTATTTTAGTGCATTTCTATATTTATACTGTTTTTATATTGTTTGGAAAATGCAAAAAAAAAAAAATTATGTTTCACATATTGTTTTCTTTTCTTTCATCAAGCCACTAAATGCATTTGAAAGCTGTATACAGATGTATATATAGAGTCCAATTTCATCACTTTCAGAATCTGTGGTTTTATTGTTATTACTCTGAAAAATAGACTATTTAAATATGTATTCATATAGATCGGTTTAAAACATAAAAACATAAATACAGACAAAATAAAACATTATATATGAAATAAAAAAATGTGCAAAATAAAACCATGTACATCCATACAGTCTAAACTACTGTTTTATTTAACAAATACTGTAGTTTTATTTAAAAAAACATATAGTTATAAGCCTCTTCTTTTTACTCTGGGATCACACTGGGTAAATTATTTGACCAAACGTGAGCATGGGAAACAAAGAACTCGTTATATATGACACATAAACACTCTTTAAGTGAACTCTTGGTGACCCGAGTCTGATGGAGCAGAAGCGGGAGAGGAGAGAGGGACAGGTATGTCTGCAATCTTTGCCCAGTGGAATGTGAAAGCAGTGTGGATTGTTCTTTCTCTGCTGCAAGCTGCTGGAATGACAACTTTGCCATGTGACAACTAGCCCCGGTTATATATATATCTACTGACTATATGATTTTCTGTGTCTGGTAATAAAATATTTCTGAACCAAGCAGGCTCTCTTATCTATTCCAGTGCAGTTTTCTTCAGATGTTTGTGAGGTTTACAGGGGTTCAGTGGTGTGTGTGTGTGTGTGTACCTGGTATGTATCACGTTATGGGGACCAAATGTCCCCACAAGGATAGTACATTTTTTACATAGACATTTTTTAGGTCCCCATGAGGAAACAAGCTTATAAATCATACAGCATGAGTTTTTTTGATAAAGTACAAATGCACAAAGTCTCCTGTGAGGGGTAGGTTTAGGGGTAGGGTTGGTGTAGGGCAATAGCACATACAGTTTGTACAGTATGAAAACCATTACACCTATGGAGAGTCCCCATAAAACATGGAAACACAACATGTGTGTGTGTGTGTGTGTGTGTGCGTCAGCGGGGCGGCTCCAGTTTCAAACACAGCGCCCATCTTTAACACAACACAACCGGACAAGCTCCGTCCCGTAGCGAGATACCGCCGTTCATGTAAGTTATTCTCAACAAAACTCGTTATTCTCCGCGGATGTGTGTGACTGGCGCGGCGGGCTTTGATCTGGTCGGCTTGAGATACATTGTAACAAACGCGCTTTTGTTGGAACGAAACAAGTGTCGCTCGCGCATCATCGATTCTTTGATGAAAGCCGCCGTGCGTCGTTGTTTTAATGCCGTTTCCTGCACTTTCTTTGCTCCCTTTGGTCAACTTTTCTCGTCGTCCGTCGCGCCAGCAGCCTGTTGCCTGTTGCTCGGTACGAAAAGCGGATTTTATTCCCGACAGGCCTGCGGATACAAAGAGATCAGCGAGTAACGGGACACGCGTTATCTGACACACGGTCCCAAGACAGACACGTTTAGACCAAGTTTTGATTCTGTCGCTATATGAAGGTCTCGTTACAGCTATTTTTTTCTATTTTTGAAGCATTTAATGTGTATTTCTTTGTGCTAGACGCATTCTTCAAAAATGAAATGCATCACACAGTAATGATTACCTTTTTTTAAACAGCGCGTTTCAGATACTCAACTATTATAGATCAATCTGTCCCTCAGCTGTGACTTCATTTCCACCAGCAGCAACAGATGTGTCCCTAAAGCTAGTGTACTTGCGTGGTTACCAAGGAGACGAGTATGCGATGAGACGTGACGAGGATTTTTATTAGCTGCCATTAACAATCAAACTTCCAAATTATTAAAATATTATTTCATTACGTGTGCTTAGACATAAATGCGAGTCATTAAATTAGTCTCAGTAAGACAAAGCAGCGAGTCATTTTTATTACAATTTGTTTCCAATAAATATTTTTTTAACACAAAATAACTTTAGATGTAGGCTACAGTGTAAGAAATGAAGTAAAACAAAAAAAGCCTCCTATTTCAGTCTTTCTACATCACAATTGCATGTTTAATTCAATGGTGCTTGCAATTTCTGAGTGAAAATAGTTTCAAAGTAAATCCTACATCATTTTTTGTTTCTCTAGTAAAAATAGCATTGCAAAAATATGACAAAATCACACAATTCTGGCGTGCTGCATGTGTTTGGACATTGTTAGTAGACAAGCTGAACTAGTGAGAAAAAGTGTGTTTTGAGGGACTTAAGGGCCAAAAAAATAAAACTTTTGTTTCTGTGCTTTATTTGTGAGCCCAGTTCTTTTGCAGTAACTTCAGGCCGTGAGTTTCTTTACCGTATATATATTCTCTTAATCTGAAATTGTGTGACCCAAATAATGCGTACTTGAAACAATCTGGCAACCATTTTCAAAGTTTTCAAAAACAGCTGCTGTGGATCAGAATCTCTTTAATATGCAGATAACATGCCAGCTACATCTGTGTGACATCAAATAGTGATATTTCATTCATTACTCTATCACACTGTAATTGCAGAGTAATAAACACTATTTAACTAACTTATCTTTGATATATGGTGTGTCTTTGTTGCAGAAATGGCATGCGCATCTGTTTGAAAAGACTTTTTGTTTGGTCGTGGCTGCATGTTGTTTCACTCGTGTAGTGTGTAGGAGAGAAAACACTTGATCGTCTCCTGTAGCGTGTCTCCGTCACGTTAATTAAAACTGCATGATGGGAGGGAGGAAGAAGTTAATCCTCACGTAAGAGCATTAGTCCATACGACCACAGCAGCGAGGCTAACGTATAGAGGACATTTAGCCGAGCGGATAGTGATCCTGACGGTTATTGCTATTCTAATGCAGTGGTTTTGCTTCAGTACTGAGATTTGGTGATCCAGCTATTCTGTTCCTAAATGTTTATGATGCAAAAGTTGACAAATTGTTTCCTACAATCAAATGTTGAAATGTATTAGAGTTACCAATAAAATGCATAGTGGAGATCCTCAATTTTGGTTTCTAAATTTCGATGGTTTGATGCTCAATAATTCAAAGGACGAAACAAAAAACAGTTAGCCTTGCTAATCCTGTATTTAACATAGTCTGGGATTTCATTTCATTTATTAACATTTCTGTTCAAAATTTTGGGGTTGGTATGATTTTTTAAGATGTGTTTGAAAAAATCTTCTGCTCACTAAGGATGCAGGTATTCAAGGGCAGGCTTTAAGATGGTTTAGATCCTACCTGTCCGATCGCTACCACTTTGTTAATTTAAATGGGGAGTCATCTCAATTATCACCAGTAAAATATGGAGTGCCACAAGGATCTGTCTTAGGTCCTCTGCTATTTTCTATTTAAAATAACTGTTTCTATGTGAATATCTGTTCAAATGTAATTTATTTCTGTGATCAAAGCTGTATTTTCAGCATCATTACTCCAGTCTTCAGTGTCACATGATCTTCAGAAATCATTCTAATTTGCTGCTCAAGAGACATTTATGATTATTATCAATGTTGGAAACAGTTGTGCTGACAAATATTTTTGTGGAAACTGATACTTTTTACTTTTCAGGATTCTTTGATGAACAGAAAAGTCAAAAGCATTTATTTGGAATAGAAATCTTTTGTAACATTATAAATGTCTTGATTGTGTTACCCTTATCAGAAACAGTCAAGCATCTAGGCGCTGTCCAGACTGCTGATAGGGCAAGAATTTAGTCTCTGGCTGACCTCTGATAGGAAATAACGCACACTGGACTGTTTTACGTCAATCTCGTCCTCCTCTCATTGTAGTCTGTGATGATAAAAAACTCCCACAATGGCAGATGTTCACTGCAGACCTGTCGCTTACAGACGTCTCTAAAGAAACCAGAGCCAGTCTCTGTGTCGGAAATCTGAGGGTGCAAAAAAAAAAAATCTAAATATTGAGAAAATCATCTTTAAAGTTGTCCAAATGAAGTTCTTAGCAATGCATATTACTAATCAAAAATTAAGTTTTGATATTTTTACAGTAGGACATTTACAAAATATCTTCATGGAACATGATCTTTACTTAATATCCTAATGATTTTTGGCATAAAAGAAAAATCAATAATTTTGACCCATACAATGTATTGTTGGCTATTGCTACAAATATACCCCAGCGACTTAACACTGCTTTTGTGCTGCAGGGTCAAGTGAAATTATAAAGAAATTGTTCATCCATAATGAAAGTTGTCATTGTTTACTCACTTTTTATGTTACTCCAGACAATAGCTTTATTTAGGAAACATACTGAAATGTTAAGTTTCTCCACTAAAGCTCTCAAGCCTTATTCTGCTTTCTGCAAATACAAACTGGTGCTCTACATTCATTTATTTTATTTCTGATTTATTTCAATCACCAAAATAGATTTTTAATAGTTTTAGTTGACAACAACAACATTGCACAGCATTGTATGTAAGAATTGGTACTGTTCTGTATTTACAAACAATAAAATGAATGTCATGTCCTTGTCCCTTTAGTCAAATGCACTTGTAACAGCTAAACTTTGTTGATTTCAGGCATGACGTGAAGTCCAGGTAATGAGGAAAGACAACAAGAGAGAGGAAGGACACACAAGATGATCGAAGCAATGGGTAAATTCATTTATTTTTGCATTTCTGTGGCAATATGGCCTCTGATGTCTGATTGGTCTGCACAGGATTGTGGGTAATTAACCGTTCGCAGGGAGTTTGATTGACAGGCAATCTGACCAATCAGAATGCGGATATTATAACTAAATATAGATTTAACATAAACAAACTTAGTGGGAGTCATACATAAATTAAACCAAACAGGTACGAAACAGGCCAGATTTGTATTTAAATAATCATATATTATTTAAATAGCTTAGAATCAGCAAAAATCTATGAAAGCCTGTTTTTTCTTCTTCTCTGAATTATGTGATATGAAATCGCAGCTGCGCGTTATAAAGTCAGAATTACGAGAAATAAACACAATTGTAAGAAAATAGTCCCTCAAAAAATCAGAACTGTGAGATAAAAAGTCACATTTACATTGATTTATTTTTTATTCAGTGATAGAAACAGCTTCCATAAAAATCTGTTCATCGTCAAAGAAATTAAATTTATTAAGATATAAAATATGTCTATATAAATATAAGATATGACCAGCTGTGGAACAGGCTATATTTAGTTAATGTATGCGATTGAAACAAATCAGATTTATTGATGATAAATATATAAAGCTGGTTATTGTGCATTTAAACCTTCAGTTTATTAGTACTAATACAGAAATCTGACCTATTCATGTATGACTGATAAATATGCACCACCTTACGTTTGTTAGTTTATGTTAAAACCGTTTGATCCAAATGGATGCAAATTCTACATGTAATTCAAATACATAAATGTTAAATTTAAGCCAAAATATTAATTTGAGGGTACATGGGCGTACAATCTTGTGAAACGCAGCCCAGATCTCTTAAATTAGTGCACAACAGTCAAAGATCATATTATATTATGTGGGTTATAGTCTAATTAATAAGCTCTACTCTATAAATTGTCCTATGTGCAAGTTTTTTCCAGCTTTCGCTGTGAATTATTGACTCTCTTGCTCTTGTTCAGTGAGAGGAATGTGTACTCTAGCATTCATACCCATGAGGCATCAGGCTGTGCGATTAGAAGACAAAGCACCTCCTCACGGCAATGAAATCCTCTACAGAAAACACTCCACGCCGCTCTGAAGATGAACGGATGCGAATCCACTCTTCCCTCAATTATTTAAATATTCCCTGAATATTTAAAGGGAATAATGTAACCTGTGTGAGAAAGAAAGTGAATTATAGAAAACATTTCTACCGCAGCTCACCACAGACTGACGGATCTATCAAACTTTAGTGAACAAACAGAAATGAAAGGCTGTCAAAGCTGGAATAGTTTCTGTGATTGGAAATCATTTCTGACGGTGGTCTCCAGAGTTTCGTTACAGGTGTGTGTGTGTGTGTGTGTGTGTGTGTGTGTGTGTGTGTGTGTGGCAGATACCCAGCGCTGTCTGCAGGCGGTGGAGAGGTTACAGTCTCGCTTGAAAGAAAAGGGAGCAGATGTTCCTGCTGAGGATAAGCTGAATCTTCTGAAGGCGGTGCTGCAGAGTCCTCTGTTTCACCAGATCCTCGCCCTGCAGAAATCAGTGCAGCATCTGAAGGAGCATGTAAGAAAAAACACAACTCTGGAAAAAAAACAGACAACAAACCATTTCAAACAGAGAAAAAAAGAATAATTTGATTCGTTTACCCTCCATGTGACTTGAATTGGAAATTTCAAAGAATGTTCATATAAGGACATGTGCAAGAAAGCACTTCAAAAGAGCGTTTAGTTTGAGGACTGCTCATTCGTGGAATGGGTCATTGTGTAAACCAATCATTTTATTCACCTATTCTTTTCAACTAGTTTATTCCTGTTAACAAATCAGACATGGGTGCCGTTTCCCAAAAGCAACTATGGTCTTAAGTTCCATTGAACTCTATGCGACCATAGTTACTTTTGGGAAATGCTCCCCAGATATAAAGAGAGAGTTCACCCAAAAATTTTAATTCTTTAATTCTCCTCATGTCGACACTTCAAAAGAGCGTTTAGTTTGAGGACTGCTCATTCGTGGAATGGGTCATTGTGTAAACCAATCATTTTATTCACCTATTCTTTTCAACTAGTTTATTCCTGTAAACAAATCAGACAGGGGTGCCGTTTCCCAAAAGCAACTATGGTCTTAAGTTCCATTGAACTCTATGCGACCATAGTTACTTTTGGGAAATGCTCCCCAGATATAAAGAGAGAGTTCACCCAAAAATTTTAATTCTTTAATTCTCCTCATGTCGTTCCAAACCTGTATGACTGACTTTCTTCTGTTGAGCACAAAATAAGATATTTTGAAGAATGTTGGTAACCAAACAGTTGGCGGTACCCATTGACTTCCATAGGATGGGAAAAGAAAAAAATACTATGGAAGTCAATGGGTAGCAGCAACTGCTTTGGGTGAACTATCCCTTAACACGGTGACAACATGCAACATACATGAGGTCAAAAATGTAGCACATTACTGTTTGAAATGTGTATTACATCCACTACTGTTCAAAAGTTTGGGGTCATTTCAAATAAATGCTGTTCTTTTGAAGATTTTGAATGTTGAAAGTATCATTATTAATAATTGAGCAGCAAATCAGCATCTTAGAATGATTTCTGAAGATCATGTGACACTGAAGACTGGAGGAATGATGCTGAAAATACAGCTGCGCATCACAGAAATACATTACATTTTACAATATATTCACATAGAAAACAGTTATTTGATATATATATATTTTTTACTGCATTTACTGTACTTTTGATCAAATAAATACAGCCTTGGTGAGCAGAAGAAACTTGTTTCAAAAATATTTAAAACATCTTACCAATTCCAAAACTTTGAACAGCAGTGAAAATGCTTAGAAATGTAAAACTGATGTTCATTACTTGTGTAGTTAAGCAAAAGCTCTATATATATATATATATATAAGTGAACCGTATATATAGCCCAGTATGCTGCCTCGTGTCTTTGGTCATTTCAGACATGCTGTAGTCACAGTTAATCCTAAGATTTGTGTCTCAGTTAATTATTCAATGATTTGTTTTGACAGTCTGCTGTGAATCTTTGCTCCCCTGATCTGAGCTGATTGAGATTACGTGATTATTCGAATCACAAACAATGCAAATACTTGAAAATATTCATAAGTAAGGCACAGCCTAATTATTTAGGGAGAAGCTTCACTCATTGGGCAGATTTGGGGGGTTTTGGAGCTCTGTGTGCTCATGGAGAGTTTGGCACCGGCAGCCGTTCGGTCTGAAGTATGCGAGTTATGCTGGAACAGAGGAATGGAGATTATTAAATCCCCAGCGGCCTTCCCTCTCGCTCTCTTCACTCACATACTTATGAACCGCAGAGCACAGTATGCTGCCTCGTGTCTTTGGTCATTTCAGACATGCTGTAGTCACAGTTAATCCTAAGATTTGTGTCTCAGTTAATTATTCAATGATTTGTTTTGACAGTCTGCTGTGAATCTTTGCTCCCCTGATCTGAGCTGATTGAGATTACGTGATTATTCGAATCACAAACAATGCAAATACTGGAAAATATTCATAAGTAAGGCACAGCCCAATTATTTAGGGAGAAGCTTCACTCATTGGGCAAGATTTGGGGGGTTTTGGAGCTCTGTGTGCTCATGGAGAGTTTGGCACCGGCAGCCGTTCGGTCTGAAGTATGCGAGTTATGCTGGAACAGAGGAATGGAGATTATTAAATCCCCAGCGGCCTTCCCTCTCGCTCTCTTCACTCACATACTTATGAACCGCAGAGCGGAACGCTGTTAACAGCCTGTGTGGAAGGAGGAAACCATCTAATGTCAGTCTGAAAGTTATGGACTCGTATAGAACAGAGCTGATGACCCTTGTGAAAAAGAAGTGCACTTAACTGTATAGAATGTGCACTTGTAGTCTACTTCAAATCTTGAGTGTTGATTTTTATAAAACTGCACTTGCAGATAATATAATATCAATTAAATAAAAAGCCACTTAAGTGACTTGAAGAGAGACACTTTCATGACTGTTTCTGAACACACTTAAGTACACTAAGTGAGCTTTGTAATAATGTTTTACTTTAAAGTTGTATTATGTACTTATTTTGAGGTGTTGAATAACATGTACAGTACTTTATTGCCATTTTAACTTTAGTGTTTTTGATATTTGATTTAGTATTGTTTTGATATATTATTTACAGTTAATATATTTTAAATGTACTAAATTGCAGCTTCATCAAATGTTTAATTACAGTTATATTTAAATACATGACATACTAGGAATGACATTAAAGTATATTTTAGTGTATCATAAGTGTTTGTCTGTACATCCAGCCATACTTGAACCATATTTCAAAGCCAACAGATGTAATTATGAAATTACATATTATTAAGTCCTACTTAAGTGGGCCAAAACCACTTTAAATTTCAACTAATTGCATTTTAATATACATTTAAATAGTCAAACTTATTTTTGGGACCAATTCTCACTATTAACTATTAATTTTGCCTCAATAAATTCCTAATTTGCTGCTTATTAAAAGTTATTAAGATAGTTGTTAAGTTTAGGTGTGGGGTTGTATAAAAAGATCTAAAATATGGTCATAAGCCATTAATATGTGCTTTATAAGTACTAATAAACAGCCAGTATTCTAGTAATATGCATGCTAATAATCAACTGGTTAACAGTGAGAATTGGTCCCTAAACTAAAGTGCTACCTTTTATTTAATTGCAATTAACATGCAGTGACGTGTCTGAAAATATTACATTCAGTTCACACTTAAGTATATACTTATTTCTGTAATAAGTGCTATTTTTAACAAGTGTACTTCTTTTTCACAAGGGGAGACACAAAGAAGAAGTACATTTTTCTATGCAGTTTCTAATAAGAAGTGTGTTACTTATGCAAAAGTAAACATCACGATTTCTTTAGTAAACACCTTTAATAACCCGAGAAGAGTTTCTTTCTGTCCACACTAACCTGCGGGGTTGTTTATGCCAAGTGCTGCGTCTGGCTTTGTCTGTGTTGCTATAGTTACCAGAATGCAGAGAGAGAGAGACATGAGTTCATGTGTGAAGTGGAGCAGAAGTAATTTCTGAAACGTGGACGAGCCAAACTGGAGGCCTAATCCTCTTACACGGGAAGACTAACAAATACAGGCTCTCGCAGAGCTGACATAGTTTCGAGCGTGTTCAAAGCTTGTGCACGATCAGCAACCGAGTCGGGAGTCTGTGGCGCTTAATCTGAAGGGCCTCTGGGAGACGGTTATGAACATTAATGTTTACTGCAGCAGACTGAAGAGCGGCCGTTCGTGTGCAGAAGAGCCACATAAAACTGGCAGAACCTGACATAGTTTGTTAAAGGGACAGTTCACCCAAAAATTACAATTCTGTCATCATTTACTCTCCCTGGTGCCGTTCCAAACCTGTATGAGTTACTTGCTTCTGTTAACCACAAAAAAGACATTTTGAAGAATACTGGTAACCAAACAGTTGACGGTAGCCATTGACTTCCATAGTATGGCATAGGGATGCACAATACTGGATTTTTGCCAATATCCGATATGCCGATATTTTGGCCGATACCAGTATATTTGCTTTTGTTTGGAAACAACACCAAGTCTCTCCTGTGCAGGGATTATAAACAAATTTTTCATTTTGGTTAGTTTTTGACAAAACTTATTTGTTAGAATTAAATAAACAATTAATGAAGTTCTTTTATCATGAGAGTACACTGAAAGTTGAAAATAACTGTACATCAATCACTGCATTTTTTCTCTCTCAGACAAATGCAGAGGTAACCTTAACATTTCATTCAAAGATTTAACATTTGTAGTTGGTCTAAAGCAAAAGAGTTGTGAAAATTCTGAAAATCTTTTAGAGCTCCTTGTATCCGTTAGAAAAATAAATAAATAATATATATATATTGAGAGTACACTGAAAGTTGAAAATAACTGTACATCAATCACTGCATTTTTTCTCTCTCAGACAAATGCAGAGGTAACCTTAACATTTCATTCAAAGATTTAACATTTGTAGTTGGTCTAAAGCAAAAGAGTTGTGAAAATTCTGAAAATCTTTTAGAGCTCCTTGTATCCGTTAGAAAAATAAATAAATAATATA